CAAGGAATGCAAATGGTGCAGCTCAAATCCAGCCCCACTGACAGCAGTGCTAATGGTGGGTGAGTGTGTCTTTGGGTGTCCCCAGTGGTGCACTCTCCTTTAATGGAAAGGCAGTCTCAACAGGCTGGGAAAGGGCTTTTGGTCAAGGTTTAGAAGCCTATAGATTCTAATTTGCCCCCTCTAATTTAATAAAGGGCGGCTAAAAAATGACCTACTTACCATCCTCACGTCCAGGAGAGTGAGAAAATGTAAAGATGAAAACTGTCAGCTCGTCTTTCCTAGTAAGGAAAAATGGCAATCTGTTTTCATGAGGTGTGTGCTCCTTCGGCCAGATGACTTGCATGTATTTGGTCATGTCTGAGTTTCTATTTCATCCCCGAGGGGTTGGAACCCAGCTTGAAACAAAATAAAACAAAGAAGCTGGCTCCTCTTTCTTTAAGTAGGTGGGCTCTCCTATCTTTGGGGAGGAAAAGAAACTATGTGGACAAGATAAAGGAGTCTAGATGTTCTTCGGTCACTGTTTAAATCCAAGGTTCTCTTTTCTTGAATAGCACCAAATCCTTGTTAATTACAACCTAGACTGTGAGTCTGTTAAAGTTAGAAGAGGTCATTTACTTTAACAAAATCCCCTTGTTTTATAGACAAGGACATTTTGGCTCAGGAAGTTTAAATGCCTGCCAAAGTCATACAGCTAATGAATGACAGGTCTGGGAGTAGTTTTCTGAGCACTATATTTCAAATGAAAGAAGCTTGAGTTAATAATAATAACTTCGATCTAGGAAGGTTGTTGCAATCAATAACAATGAAATTCATTGCAAAGTTTTACTTAAACTCTTTATAAAACAGTATGTTCTAACACATGAAGAATGCCATTCATTTATTCAGACCTGTTCTTAATAACTATGCATTAGAGGTATGTTTTACAAAAGCTATAAATCTGGAATAGCCAAAAGGGCATCCAACTTTCCTTTCTAATTGACTTACTTCTCCTTTTTCCCAGACCGCCGAGGTAAAGCATATACAGTTTATTTAAGGGACTGTTTATAGACTCTTAAAACTAAAAAGGACCCCAGAAACTCGCTTTCTTTTGGTTGCTCTTAATTGAAACCATCCAAGGTGGTTGGCTGTCCGTCACTTTTTAAAGTATCTTTGAGGAGAGAAATTCCACAAGCCTCTAAAGCACATGTTAAAATGGTTAATCACCATGACTGTCAAAAATTATACCTATGGCAAGCTTAGCTTCCTCTGCTTCACTTGAAGCTCTTTCCCTC